CTCTCTCTCTCTCTCTCTCTCTCTCTCTCTCTCTCTCTCTCTCTCTCATGTCCTGGGTGTAGATGGCGCCTCCTCACTCACAGACCTGCAGGTGAATCTTGCCCACAGAAACAGCAGCCTCCCAAAGTCCTGACTGAGCAGGGCTCTGGATGTCCTTGGGTATAGGGAAGGAAGATTGGATGAACAACCAAGCCATAGTTAGTGGGTCGGGTGCTGGGGAGTTTCATTCATTAGGAATGCAGGCAAAATGCAAAATGTTCCTTCTATACCCTGGGATCAACCAGAGAGACTTACACCAACAGGCAAGTGCCTGTGCTTCCCTATTCTTGGCGCCCTGCAACTAGATTCCAGAAGCCTCCTTTCTGCCCAACTCCTCCACGTGATAGGGCAAGGCACGGCAGCACCCCTTCTGTGCCCACTTCTTCCCTCTTTGGAGCCTAGACCTCCTAGGTCTGACTATGCACATCCGCCTTCCCAGGGCATCAGTTGCTGCACCCGCACTCCCCTGCCTCTCCCCGGAAGGCTGTGGTGGGGCGGGAGACCAGACTTCCCACGGTTGACACCTACTTCCTCCGTAGCACGGATCCTAAGAAATGCTTCTTACCCAGAACTTGGAGCCCAGCTTCCCGGAGCCGCACAGGCGGTCCATGTGGCTCTGGTGCACCGTAGGACTTGGGATCTCAGTTCAGCTTAGTCCCAGCAGCACTGCCCCGGAACCGCCTCCGACTCCCGGCTCCATCCGCACTCCTCCCCGCCCCGCCCTCAGGCTCTCTGGGTCAAGTTCTCCCCGTCCCAGCTATTGCGACACAGCCTCAGTAAAACTGCTGGTACCTAAAGGGACTGTAAGAAAGGGACTGTAGAGAATGGAGGGGTAGTTGACAGTTCTAGTCCCTGAACTTCTAGACGCAGAAGCTGATGGACGTGGGAGTGAGTCTCACTGTAAAAGAAGTCCTTTATAAAGGTAGGGTCACTTCTGGCTTTATAAATAAATACGAGATCATCATCTACAGTCTGTGAAGTGCTTGTGAGACCAGACTCTCTCTTCATACGTTTACCAGAGAGCTGACACCAGCACATTTATGTGATGTGTCTATGTACATGTGTAAAGCATGAGAGTAAGGCATGAAGCTGGTCCCAGTACCAAATACATGGGTGTGTGACTTCCCTGTGGTGCCTTCTCAGATTCTGTGGCTCCGAGTCTTGCCCAGGGCACTTCTCTTCCTCACTTTTGAACTGGTCAAGTATGGATAACCATAATAGAATCCTTCACACTGGGTTTTCCGAGGATTCAACAGAAAACTATATAACACATATGGATTGCATGTAGATACCCAACCAATCTTAAGCCCAGTGAAGCCCCAGAAAGAGCCCTCACTAGCAAGCACCTTTATCCTGTTGTTGCTGTCATGGTTTTTGTTTCTGTTTGTTTGTTTGTTTGTTTGTTTAAGACCGAATTTCTTTGTGTAGCCTTGGCTACCCTGGAACTCACTCTGAAGACTAAGCTGGTCTTGAACTCAGAGACCTGCCTACCTGTGCCTCCCAAGTGCTGGGATTAAAGGCATGCACCACTGCCCAGCTAGCACCCTTGTCTTAATGCTGAGCCTCCACATTGTCAGTCTATAAAATTGCCTTCCCAGCTTGGCTATGTTGGGTTCCTCTCCATCCCTCTCTTCCCTAATAAGGTCCCAACTCACCACCCCTCTCTGGAGTGAGAAGAAATCTTCTTGGTCTAATTAACCCCTGTCTCTACCTTCAAGCTCTTGGGAGTTGTGTGTGTGTGTGTGTGTGGGGCACTTGTTTCCCAGTCAGGACAGGGTATTTTTAGCCTTCTGGGTTCAGTGTAGGTGTTGAAAGGATCCAGTAGCACAGTGCAGACCATCCCCTACCCCTCTGGGCAGGCAGAAAGTACCAGAAGCCAGAATAGGAATGAGCTAGTAGAGTGGGGTATGGCAGTTGGCCTGGGGACCTGCATGAATTCCCTCTGCCCCCTGCCCCTTTCTCCTCTTCTTCCCCATCTTTTCTTCCTCCAACCTCTGTACAGATTTCCTGCAGCTTTCGTATCTTATCAGTGTGCCTTTTCTTACTTTTACCTGTGAAGACTCTGGGAGGTCCTCAAGTCAGCCACCACTGAATCATGTCTACCTTCCTTCATGCCTCAGGTAGTAACTATAATACCCTATGTCACCTTGGCAGGCTCCTCATGTCTCTGGGACCAGTTTCAGGGACAAAGTGAGCAAAGGACCATAGGAACCCTTTTCCTACCCTGTGGTCTAGGCATCTAAGATCAAAGCATCTGGGAACCAGCCTCTGAGCCTTCTGCTAACCTTGAACATAACTTTCCCAACACCCCTGCCTGGCATTTCACTAATGGCTTTCTTTTAGAGTTGGGCCATGGATAAACTCAGCAGTGTGATTCCGAGCCTGAGGAAACTAAGTACCTTCCTCTGGAACCCTTTAGACAGATGAGCTTCCTCCAGCCCCAGTTGACACTTCTCATTTCCTGGGACCTTCCAGCTCAAGGTCAGCATGGAGTTCCCTGGTTAGGGCTCCAATTTGAGGGCAGGAATCTGGGTTCAGCACTAGAGCAAAGTACCTTCCTCCGTGACAACCGCCTTCCCATCCTGCCTTCCCTGGTCTCTCCTTGTAGGATGGGAGGCTCCGAAGTCATGATCCACTCCTTGGTGATCCTTACCTTCCTCCATCTCTGGAAATGCCGGGGATGCACCCTTCCTGGCCTCTTATGGAATGTGGTCTTTTTCCCCTATGGTTCTTGAAGAACAAGCATAGTGTGTTGGGGTTGGTCTTGTGTGTTGTGTATTCAGATGCTGAGTTCTGTACCCCAAGATCAAGTTACAGTCCAGACATGGGCATTGTAATAACCAGTATGCTGTAAAGAATGCTCAGCGATTATCTCTCATTGGTTTATTAAAAGCTGGAGCCTGTGATTGGCAGAGGAGATAGAAAGGAGGAACTTGCAATCCAGGGAGGGGTCTCAGGGAGGGACCATAGGGGAGGAAGAAAGGAGAGGGAGAAGGAGGTTGAGTGAGGCAGGATGGACCATGAGGATGGACCATGAACACGTGGCCAAGAGAAGTTCGCCCCAAGGACAGACAGCTATAGCAGAAGGAGCCCAGGTGGGACAAATTGGCAAGAGACTCAGGGCACATGCCTGAGAAATAGCAAAATAGCATAGAGTGTTAAAATATATAGCCATCTGCCCAGCTCTAGTACCAGTAGCTGGTTAATAAAATCACCAGAGAGCTGACACCAGCACATTTATGTGATGTGTCTATGTGCATGTGTAAAGCATGAGAGTAAGGCATGAAGTTGGTCCCAGTACCAAATACATGGGCGTGTGACTTCCCTGTGGTCCTCTTAAGTTGGTCCCAGTACCATATAGATGGATGTCTGACAGATCTCTGTGTCATTTGCTTGGGAGTTAAACGGGCTAACTGGGCATAGAAATGCCCTGCATATATCTGGGAGCAAAAGGGGATATAGAGCCCTCCTCCATAAAATGACTACTATAATAGTGTTTTGATTGCTTGTCTCACCCAAGCAGGAGAGCTCAGGCCTTGGAACCTCCCACAGTTTGTCCAGGGCCTCAGAGCTTCATCTGGTACAGGTGCCAAAGAGCCTTCTGTATGCAGCTTCTGCACATGGGTGCTCCAGGCAGTTCCCTGGACAGAATGTATTTCTAGGACCCTTGGCTATTGTACCCCTGCTCCTAGCCTATCTCCCAAGCTGCCCAGCAGACCCTCTTCTAACTCCCCTGACCCCCTGTATCCATCAAACTGTTTATCCTTCAAGATCTCTGTCAGTACTGGGCATGGGAGTCCATATCTGTAATCTCAGCATTTGGGAGATGGAGGTAAAAGATCACAAGTTCAAGGCCAGCCTCAGCTACCCAGTGAGTGGGAGACTAGTCTAAGCTATATGAGACCCTGTCTAAATCAACAAGAAGTCTCTTCCCTATATCACAACCGCTGCCTCTCCAGAGTCTGTGAACATGAAGTAAAGGGACTAAATCTTTTTTAATCATAGTATTCTTTAACACCCAGGGCAGCGCTTGGCTGAGTCCTCAAGGAGTGTTTGTCGACTGACTAACCCGTTACTCTCATGAAAGAAGAAAGACCAGTTCCTGGTGCATTCCTTCAGTTCCAATGGTTCTGTGGAAAAGGTGGTAAAGGCAAGAAGTGTTTCAAGCAGGAGGCAAAAGAACAAGGCCACAACTGGATATGAAATTCAATAGAATTTGTCAGGCTGCTCTGTTTTGGTAGCAGCTCATGGTCTGACTTTAATACCCACACTAGGATCAAGAGAGGTCCTGTAGGAGAAAACATAGATGTGGAGCCTGGGCTCTGATTAATGGGGTGGAGGTGGGGTCTGGCTAATTGGAGAGGGGGAGCATCCAGCTATTGGTTGGATTCTTGAGGGAGTTTAAAGCCATTCGTTTTTGTAAAATCTCTTTTTTCTCCTTCTCCTCCTCCTCCTCCTCCTCCTCCTCCTCCTCCTCCTTCTCCTCCTCCTTCTTCTTTTTTTGTTTTTGTTTTTTTTTGACAGGGTTTCTCTGTATAGCCCTGGCTGTCCTGGAACTCACTCTGTAGACCAGGCTGGCCTCAAACTCAGAAATCCACCTGCCTCTGCCTCCCAAGTGCTGGGATTAAAGGTGTGCGCCACCACTGCCTGGCTAATCTCTTGCTCCTTAAGATTTTTTTTTCTGCAGTTTTGGGGAGGGAAATTGAGAGGAATAATTTAAGAATTTAAAGCTAATTGTCTGAGTGGGTTGTTTATGAGCAGCCAACCCCCTTATGTCTGTCTACCTTTTTGTTTATGTATTTGATTAATGAATAGGCCTGTTCAGTTATGGCTTGTCCTTGGGGATTACAGTTAATGCCACGAGATAGGTGAATTTTCCAAAATGGTTAAGAAGAGAGAAGTTTCGGATGTATAAGTGGGACCCTTGTTTGTATTTGTTTTGGGATGCACATTACAGAGAGGGCAGTTAACAAGTGACTACAGACATCTTGAACAGACTCATGTGTTTGAGAGGTAGCAAGGACAATGCCTGAAAAAGCATCAATACAAGCGTGGAGAATTTTTTAATGAACAGAGAGATTTATATGAATTATACCCGTTTGCCAAAGATCGTTAGGTCAAAGATGATTGTTCTCTGCTGGGGATGGAGGAACCCAACAGTTGATAGGAGGAGGCTTTGGAGAGAGCTAAATGCTGAGAACGAGAAGTCTGAGGTATGAACCAAAGTGGCTTTCTGATGGCCAAAGAAACTCCATTTTATGCTAGGCATCCCTCTTGGTACCCACTAGGTGTTTGCCTCTGACTCTAGTCCCCGGAGGATAAGTTCCCAGTAGCCCTTACTCAGTGGCTCAGGCCCAGAAATGTACAGCCGTGACCATCTACTTGTTATGACTAACTGCTTTTTTGGCTTCTGTAACTTGTTTACACAGACACCAAGGAGTACTGTGGGTCACTTTGACCGCTTAACTTAGCAGAGCAGACCATTTTTGCTTACTTGTGTAGATATTAAAGTCTTCTTATGGTTTTTGCCTTTTAAAAAAACCCTTCCTTGCTGGGCAGTGGTATGCATGTCTTTAATCTCATCAGTCAAGAGGCAGATGCTGGCAGATCTCTGAGTTCAAGGCCAGCCTGGTCAACAGAGCAAGTTCCAGGACAGCCAAGGTTACAAAGAGAAAACTT